CTCCCAATCTGAGCAGCATCTCTGTCACCACCTGCGTCCAGCCTTGTGAGTGTGAAACACCTCGCTGCTAGCTGACGACGTCTCAAAGAGCTTGCCCAGTAGCCCGAAGGGCCTTCAGTGGTCAGTGAAACTACTTAGTCAATGGCCTTCAATCGGATGCTCTGGAAGAAAATGTTTTGATCCTGTGCCTTCAGTTTTTCAGAAATGCTCTCGTCCCTGTTTAGAACAAGGATTTTGGGGTCGGCGCTGTGGTGTAGTAGGCTAAGCCTCCGCCTGAGCTGCCAGCATCCCATATGGGCACCGGTTTGTGTCCCGGCTGCTCTTATTCCAACCCAGCTCTCTGCTGTGGCCTGGTAAAGCAGTGGAAGATGGCCCAAGTGTTTGGGCCCCAGCACCTGCATGGGAGACCAGGAAGAAACTCCTGGCTTTGAATGGGCCCAGCTCCAGCCGTTCCAGCCATGCGGGGAGTGAACCAGCAGAATGAAGATCTTTCTCTCTGCCTCTCCCTCCCTCTCTCAGTCTGTAACTCTTATCTCTCAAATAAACAAATAAAATCTTTATATTAAAAAAAGAACAAGGATTTTTTTTAAAGGAAAAGTGGAAGAATTGCTATCATGGACCTTTTTACTCTGAAACTAATTAGTGGGGGGAGGTGAAGATGTAGTTTGGGGTGCCTGCACATAGGATTGTCTGGTTCCAGTCCTGGCTACTCTGCTTCCAACCCAGGTTCCAGATAATATGCTTGGGAAGACAGGGGATGATGGCCCAAGTATGTGGGTTTCTGGTTTCAGTCTGGCCCGGCCCTGGTTATTGAAGGCACATGGGAAGTAAACCAGCAGATGGAAGTTTATTCTCTCTTCTCTCTCTCCCCCCATCCCTGCATTTCAAATAAATAAAAATTAAATAAACACCTTTTTTAAAAGATAGATTTATTTATTTATTTGAAAGTCAGAGTTACACAGAGAGAGGGGAAGCAGAGAGAGGTCTTCCATCCGCTGGTTCACTCCCCAACTGGCAGCAATAGCCAGAGCTGTGCTGATCCGAAGCCAGGAGCCAGGAGCTTCCTCCAGGTCTCCCACGCAGGTGCAGAGGCCCAAGTGTCTGGGCCATCTTCTACAGCTTTCCCAGGCCATAGCAGAGAGCTGGATCAGAAGTGGAGCAGCTGGGACTTGAACTGGCACCCATATGGGATGCGACACTGCAGTTGGTGGCTTTACCCACTATGCCACAGCACCGACCCCAAAATAAAAAAACACTTTTTGAAAATCTAAATAAACTCCACCACTCCTCCAACCCCCATACTATTGCAGTGTTTACTGCTGACACATGCAGCATGAACCCATAAACATAGCCACAGAATTACACTTTCCAATGACAGGCCTCCCAGAGATATGTAGAAAACGGCACAGATAATAAAATACACAGGCTCCAAACTTAGCATTGTTTTAAATTCCCAGGTCAGAAACTTACTTTAGTTTGTTTACTACTTCTTTAAACAAACTCACATATGGCCTTAAAAGGTCTGAGAACCTGGCAATTAGAAATCGAAATATTCACAGAAGGGATCCAAAATACTGAGCTGATAGTTCACCTCATTCTGGTGAAGTTTTGAATACAAAATATAAAAGTGTTTTTGACAACTTTAAAGCACTTTATGAATTAAATGAGTCACTCTGCTTAAGTGAAGTATGACTATTATAAGCACTATTATAAAAATAAGCAAATACCTTTTAAAAATTCTCATCTATATTTTAACCCAATTCAATAAACATTTATCAAATGCCTATATGGTCCAGGCAGAGGCCTGAGCTTGAAAGAGAAAACCAAGATAAAGAGACAGTCCCAGCTGGCGCTGTGGCTCAATAAGCTAATCCTCCGCCTTGCGGCACCGGCACACCGGGTTCTAGTCCCGGTCGGGGCACCGGATTCTGTCCCGGTTGCCCCTCTTCCAGGCCAGCTCTCTGCTGTGGCCCGGGAGTGCAGTGGAGGATGGCCCAAGTGCTTGGGCCCTGCACCCCATGGGAGACCAGGAGAAGCACCTGGCTCCTGGCTTCGGATCAGCACGGTGTGCCAGCCACGGCGGCCATTGGAGGGTGAACCAACGGCAAAAAGGAAGACCTTTCTCTCTGTCTCTCTCACTGTCCACTCTGCCTGTCAAAAAAAAAAAAAAAAGACAGTCCCACTTGTGAGAATTTATTCCATTAGAGTGAGAAAGACAAGCATGTTAATAGCCAAAGTATAATATGAGGGGACTTCCAAATATTTTTGGAAATTTGAATTAAAAGACACATTTATGGGGCCGGCGCTGTGGCTCACTTGGCTAATCCTCCGCCTGCAGCGCCGGCATCCCATATGGGTGCCGGGTTCTAGTCCTGGTTGCTCCTCTTCCAGTCCAAGCTCTCTGCTGTGGCCCGGGAAGGCAGTGGAGGATGGCCCAAGCATTTGGATGCCTGCACCAGCGTGGGAGACCAGGAAAAGCACCTGGTTCCTGGCTTTGGATCAGTGCAGCGCCAGCCATGGCGGCCATTTGGGAGGTGAACCAACGGGAGGAAGACCTTTCTCTCTGTCTCTCTCTCTCTCTCTCTCTCTCACTGTCTATCTCTATCTGTCAAAAAATAAAAAATAAAAAACACATTTATTTGGGAGCAAAAAAATTTAGAAACCATACATAGTTTTTTTTTCATAATATGCATTTTCCATGGAGTTTTTGCAGACCCCACACCCACACCCACACAGCAGAATGAAACAAGGGTGGATGAAAGGACAGGTCGCACAATTTGTGTGAGCCAAGAATCAAAACATCTGGAATAATTGTCTAATGTCTGTTCGTGAAGGAGATATTTGAGCTGAAGCTTCAGGGATGAGTGGGGAGGAAGTTTTAAGCCAACAAAACATGATGAGCAAGGTCACATGTGTCATGTGTCATGTCTAGGAAATGCTAACCTTCAGTTTTATTTATTCGATGTACTATATGACAAATATCAATATTCAATCCAAAATTAAACCAACTGCACTCACAAGCTCTTTGTACTGTTTTTACTGCTTTTTGAAACTTATTTTTAGTATTCTCCACTTTTTTTTACATTAGCTTTTTTTTTCTCTTTTAAACAGAGCATATTGGTTTTGGATAATGTATCCAAAACCAGTAACTCACTGAGGAACCTGTACCTTGTATTTCTTCAATAATCATTTGCTATCCAACAAATTGTATAATTTAGATTCTACTACATGAATCATTTTGTGCTGATCATGGGAGATGTGTGAAGATGTAGGAATTATAGAATATTACACGTTGGAGACTATCCTGTCCAATTACCCATCTACCAACCTAAGGCAAACCTCGGCCAAATGAGGGGACAAATATTATATAAGGCATTCCTCAAAGAAATTTACAATCTAATGGATGATCTAAGATACAAAAACAAATAAGCAAAGCAGGAAGTCAGTGACAGTTTCTAAATTACACTGGATCCGATCCCCTTCCAAAACCCACTATCATTCTGTGAATTGTGATTTTTCTTGTAAGCACCAGTTTCATCTTATTTTTAAAAATTTTTATATTTACTTATTTGAAAGATAGCAAGATATAAAGACACACACAGAGAGAGACAGAGACAGAGAGAGAGAGACAGAGGCAGAGACAGAGAGCTCCCATCTACTGTTCACTCCCCAAATACCTACAATGGCCAGGGCAGGACTGAGGCTGAAGCCGGGAACCTAAAACTCAACCCAGGTCTCCCAAGTGGGTAGCAGGACCCAATTACCTGAGCCATCATGGCTGCCTTCCAGGTCTACATTAGCAGAAGCTGGAATCAAGACTAGACTAGGGTATGGATCGTAGGCACTGCATCCTAACCACGAGGCCAAACACACACACCCCCAACACATACACCTCTTCATCTTGTTTTTAAAGTACCAATATCATATCAGTCGTATGAAAATGAAGACTAAGATATATTATTTTTTTTCTTTGAAAGGCTGAGAGAGAGAGAGGACAGACAGACAGACAGAGAACATTCCATCCGGTGATTCACTCTCAAATGTCCACAGTAGGTAAGACTGGGCCAGGCTGATGCCAGGAGCTGGCAGCCAGAATTGAGTCCAAGTCCCCATGTGGGCAGCAGGTACTCAACGACTTGAGTCATCACCACTGCATCCCTCTGTCTGCATTAGCAGGAAATCCAGAGCTGGAGTCAGACATCAAACCTAGGTACTCCGATAGGGGACACAGGCAGTGTAATTGGCAACCTAACCACTAGGTCTGCCCCTGGGTTTCTTTAATGGGACACTTAACAGAGGACAGCGACTGAGTGGGTCTCTCCTTCCAGTCAGTTTACACTTTGACTCACTGTAAGATTGGTATAACTCTGAAAATAGAGACGCTTAAAGGGAACAACTCATAAGGTGATACAACCTTTGGAAACTTATCATAGATTCATTAAAAGTGGTGAAAAGGGAATTCATCCTATACCATTCTGTCACCTTGTTTGCTCAGTAGAACTGAATTATATCATCAATAAGTAAAGCAAATGTATGTGAAATGCAGATAGGCAAAACATTCATCTATAAGTAGCCAAAATTCTTATTGACTTTATTGAGTTGAAAATGGGCCAATTAACCATTTTAGTTGCTTGTTCTAAAATTAGTAATTAGAGATCATATCATGTTATGCATATAATTTAAAATTAACAGGAAAAAAAACAAAAACACTTTAGCCTTCAAAATTACAGCAGAACTGTCATTCGGACTGATTACCCATAATTCATGCAATGCTTGGCATGCCAGAACTCTGTAAAGATAAAATGTGATGATCTTATGAAAAGAATAGCAAGTCAATGAGTCACACATATGATGAATTTCATAAGGGCAGAAACTCTTAGGAGACAAGAAAATACCAAACTTATTAGAGAATCTTAGGGGAAAATGGTGTCATAAACAACAGTAGGGAAAGAAGCCTTCTGGTTGGACCCACGCCCACTGGGAAGGGTATATAAAGCCCAAGGCTGCAGGAGACATGTGCACCTCAGAAACCTCACCGTCCTTAGGAACCAAAGGCAAACCCGACTCCCCACGCCATGGCTTGCTGTATTGCCCGCTGCTGCAGCGTCCCCACCGGCCCCGCCACCACCATCTGCACCTCTGACAAATGCTGCCGCTGCGGAGTCTGCCTGCCCAGCACCTGCCCCCACACGGTTTGGCAGCTGGAGCCAACCTGCTGTGACAACTGCCCCCCACCCTGCCACATTCCTCAGCCCTGTGTGCCCTCCTGCTTCCTGCTCAACTCCCCCCAGCCAACCCCAAGCCTGGAGACCCTCAACCTCACAACCTATGTCCAGAGCAACTCCTGTGATCCCTGCATTCCAAGAAACTGCTGATGGATGGGGGCTCTGCTCAGCACCTGCCTTGAAGAGCCCAGAGCTGCCTGTCCAGGATCCACTTGCCTCAGCAGTCTAGCAGATGTGCAGGTAGACCAGCAGCTCAAGATATGGAAACCCCCACCTTTGATTTCAATGGAAAGAAAACCAAGAATTTTTCTATGATTATTTGGCTCTTAACTATTTGGTTAATTTGGACAAATGAATGTCTTCTAATATCAAAATACTATTGAATTCTTTAATATTTCAGACTTTATTTTCTCAGTCAGTATGCTTAATATGCTTCCTGGGTCTTATTTCTTGCATTGAGTATTTTCATAGAGGTTAAAGAAATTTCCCAATGAGTTTCTCCAATAAACTTTAATTCCCTGGCAAGATGTGTTCTTGTTTATGTTAGAGTTTGTGGTATATTTCTTCCCTTTTAAAAATATCATTTTAACATTTAAGGAAATAAACGATTAAACAAATGCCAGGAACTAGCGTGCTAACGTGACTTTTTTGCTAAGTTTTAACTAGTTATCTTTTCTGTTCGCCTTTGCTTCCTCCCTTTTCCACAAATATAATTTGGGGACCAGGCTTCATTTATTGACCTACTTTTGCCAGGTGACTCACATGCACTAATTCATTTAATTCTTATAACAGCACTAATAGATGAGAAAGAGGCAGGTGTAAGAGGTGTTCAACGTTGCCAAAATCACAAGGTTAGTTACTCATAAAGCCAGAGTGCAGCCCCCCGCATGTCTGACTCTGAAGCCCTGTTCCTGCTGTCCCATCGTAAAGCTTCCCAAACTCACAGAGCCAGAGACATAATGAACAAGGCTACAACGTTAACTTAAAATATGCAGGAGAAATTAAGGTGAGATTATTTAACAAAATCATCACATTCAATTGTAACAGAAGAAGCACGTGTTGGTTCATGGATTATAATGAGCATGGATTCAAACGCAAGATCTGTGTCATTTAATGAGCCTGCTTTGGCTTCACTTCCTTCTCGAGAGAACACAAGGAGCCCAGCTCCAGCCGCAGGGCATGGAAGCCTGTTTTCTGTTTTTCACCACACTCAGAAGTTGTACTCCAGCAATCAGCAGAATGCCTGTACTTCCCACGGGATATGTTGAGAGCTAGACCTAAAACTGACCGAACATGGTTTAACCTACTTAATTTTAATAGCCTACTAATTTTATCTTACTCAGATTACCATTTTTCTGAGTCTAGAGAGATTAGGGGCGTGTGTCATATAAATAAAGTTATGTTGAATATGCAAAACATATATATATAGAATATAGAATATATATATACACGTACAACACATACATAAAGACACGAGTCAAAAACATTAAGATAAAATGGAAAGAATGTATGGGGGGGCAGGGTAGAACAAAGAAGGGGAAAAGCAATTGCATTTAAACAAACATGGTTTAAATGCTCTCAAAGTGCCCAGAGAGGGCCCCTCTGAGGCACCCAGGTACTGTCAGCTTCACTGTAATGAACAGAACTCAGAAGCCAGGCGGTGGAAGAGACGGAACCCAGCAGACTCTCAAGGAGAGACTCGTCAGGTCACTACTGCACCTGGCTGGATGTCTTCAGTGCCTTCCAGTGCCAGGCACCCCCTGTGCAGCAAGTAGAAAGAGCAAAAAGAAACATTATTACTAAAGGGCCTCCAATGGGGACAGACTAGTGGCTGTACTCACAACACATGTGTAACATGTGTGTCATACAAGTGCAATGCCCAGGCTGTGGGAGCCTGCTGTGACGGGGAGGAGAGCCTCTAAATGCCCCTTCAGTGAGTGGTTGTCAGAGTTAGGGAAAGTCCTGGAGCTGTCCAGGCTAAGCCTTACAACACGGGACGGCAGTAGGAGAGGGGAGCGATTGCTCGAAACAGAACAAGGCTTAGTAAATCAGGAACACTACTGCACTTCTGTTTCTTTTCATTATCAACCTTTATTTGCATCTTCACCATCGCAGCTGTCCTCGTTGACTATGGAAAGGCGTAATTAAAACTGGACAAGTCCTTGGATGCATGCATGCATGCATGATTTTCGGCCCTTTGAAAAATCTCCCATCTAATCATGAATCATTTGTTTCTCCTGCAACAGCTTACAGGACAAAAAAGAGACCCTTTGCTTCCGAAAACAAAGCATGTTTATTATCTCTGACACTGAGTTTCATTTTCAACCACACCAAAGCTAGCTCAACTCCATGGGGTGCTGTTTTTAGTTTTTAACCAGTGAGTCACCAGGCCGTCTAAGGTACATTATCTCACCTCTCTAGATGCACTATCTTAGTTTATAAACAAAGCTGAGTAATTCCCAGGTCGCTTAGACCAAGGCAGAGAAAATAAATTTTAATAAAGTATTGTAGGTATTGTCAATAAAAGTGATAAGTTCACTACCATAAAGTTGTTACTTTCTTTTGGTAAAGATTTATTTATTTATTTGAAAGGCAGAGTTACAGAGAGGCAGAGAGAGAGAGAGAGAGAGAGAGAGAGAGAGAGAGAGGTCTTCATCCGTTGGTTCACTCCCCAGATGGCTGCAACAGCCGGAGCTGCGCCAATCTGAGGCCGTGAGCCTAGTGCTTCTTCCAGGTCTCCCACAGGTTGCAGGGGCCCAAGGACTTGGGCCATCTTCTACTGCTTCCCAGACCATAGCAGAGAGCTGGGTTGGAAGTGGAGCAGCCGGGACTTGAACCGGCACCCATATGGGATGCCGGCACTGCGGGCGGCAGCTTTACCCACTATGCCATGGTGCTGGCCCCTAAACTTGTTACTTATAACTACTTTTCATCTGCAACTTGAAGTTTTACTGATAAGTAGAAGGCACAGTTTTCTACACAATAGAACAGTTAAAGGAACAGCAAGAAGTTCCAGAACCTTTTAGGATGAAAGTAGCACTTCAGATAAAAGCACTTCAGATAAGTGACTGCCATGAAATTCTAATGCGGAAGGTCTGCAAGTCATTTTTCCTTTCTTCAAAATGTCAGAAGAATTTCCTTCTTGTTCCTTTTTGTCTTTTTTTTTTTTTATGTTCATTTTCATTTGAAAGAGAGACAGAGAAAGAGAGAGATCTTCCACCTGCAGGTTCACTCTCCAAATGCTAGCAACAGCCAGGATTAAGCCAAGCCAGAGCCAAGAGCCAGGAACTCAATCCAAATCTTCCACATGGGTGGCGGAGACCCAAGAACTTGGGCCATCATCTGCTACCTCCCAGGATGCATTACACGAAGCTGGATCACTGAGACACAGAGACACTTCACAGGGGAGGTGGGAAGAATGTGAGAGGATCGTGGGCTTGAAGGAGGAGTGGGTGCAGGCTTAGTGGAGATGGCTTGAGGCACAAAGGTGGCACTGGCTAGCAGCCCACCTGGCGCTCCCTCTTAAACCCTGATCTGTGGCTGAAGGCTAACAGCTGAACTGGAGCTAGAATCCAAGTCTTTCCCATCACAGCCACAGCTGATTTGAGGAGAAAACGCATTACAGTAAGGGGACAAAAACAGAATAAAATCAGAAGTCAACAAATTCTTCTAGCTCAGGCCTGTAACTTTCAGGTGGTAGAAATTTTACTTGAAATTAAGCATTGTGATCTTACATTTTTCTTTTACTTCAACTATGAAGACATAAGCTAACCATTCAACTTGCACACAAATGGCAGGGAAGGAGACCAAGCAAGCCCATTTTTTATAGAATGACAAATGGCCAATATACATAAGGAGGAATGTTTTAAACTAATTATAAAAGAAATACCATGAAATTTCATTTTTCTCCCTTCAAGTTGGCAAACACCTTTAAAATAAAATATCCAGGGGCAGCGTTGCAGCACAGCGGGTTGAGCTGCTACCTATCCACATGGATGCCAGTGTGTGTCCTGACTGTTCCACTTCCAATCCAGCTCCCTGCCAACGGCCTGGAAAAAGCAGAAGAAGGTGGCCCAAGTACATGGGCCCCTGAATTCCTATGGGAGACCTGGAGGAAGCTCCTGGTTCCTGGCTTTGGCCTGACCCAGCTCTTGCTGTTGTGGCCATTTGAGAGGTGAACCAGTGGATGGAAGATCTCTCTCTCTCTCTCTCTCTCTCTCTAACTCTGCCTTTCAAATAAATAAATAAATCTTCAAATAAGGGAAACTGGAATTTTCAAATACAGTTGATGGAAATAGATATATATAGAAAAATATAGTTCAATTCAATGATTCTGTACAGCAGACAATATCAAAAGCCTTAAAATATTGCCAATTAACAATTGTTTATTACATCCAATAAATATTTCTGCTTCTGAAATAATTGGAAATGTACACAATGTATATATAGTTGCTTTCTTTTGCCACAATTATAAGGAGAAGCTGAAAATAAGTAAATGCTTAATATGAAATTTTTAAGTAACTGAGGAGTACATTATATGATGAACACTAGGAAACCTTAAAAATACGATTATGAGGAGTGGCGGTTGGCCCAGTTTAAGAGGTCAGGACGTCCACGTCCCTTATCAGAGTGCCTGGGTCCAGCCCAAGCTCCGGCTCCGAGTCTCCCTCCCTTGCCAACGCAGATACTGGAAGATGGCAGGTGAAGGCCCAAGTAGTTGGAGCCTTGCCACTCACATGGGAGATTCGAATTGAGCTCCAGCTCCTAGCTGTGACCTGGCCAGCTATGACCACTGTGGTTATTTGGTGAGTAAACCAACAGGTAAGAGCATTCTCGTTCTTTCTCTCTCCCTCTCTCTGCCTCTCAAATAAATTTTTACAAAATATTTTTAAGGAAAATTGCCCTGTATACTTAAGAATATATGATAATAAAAATATTCCTTTATATGTTTAAATGAAAAGTTATATATATATGATTCCAGTAATGTGGTAAAATAAGTGAATCTATAAAAATTAGTAGATATGTAAAGAATATTAATAGTGAATTTCTTTTTTATTTTAGTTTTATTTTCTCCTGAGCTGAAATAAGTTCTAGTTTAATTAAGGTACTTTTTGCATGCAAGATACAGTTTAACAGTAAAATATGTATCAGACTTAATTTCCCAGTAAATTTACTGTAAAGTGGTAGCAGATTGCAGTGCTATTCCCTTTGTTAGATCATGGTAAAACTGTAATGATAGGTTGGTAATGGAGACAAAAGTTTTGCAATAAAACCATTCTGTGAGAATCAACTAGCTACAAGGGATTAAAAATTAAAGAATAGTATCTATCTTATTATTGTTTGCAACTGTGTGCTGTCCACCTAGTAGAGCCTCATGCTTGTGTCCCACCAGGGCATATGCACTGAAGGCCTGGCCACCAGGGCCGTGGTGTTAGGAGGTGAGGTCTTTGGGCAGTGGTTAAGTCAGATGCCCTCCTAAGTGGGATTGGTGCCCTTATGGAGAGGCCCCTAAGAGCAGCCTGACCCCTCCCTCTGCGTGAGGACAAAGCAGGCCCTCAGAAGACCCCAAATCTGCTGGGGCCTGAGACTTCCCAGCCTCCAGGAGGCGAGAAATGCAGTTCTCGTT